CAATAACTTTCAAACGCAGTGTAGCTGTTCTTTATTCAACATTGTGTTCAAATGTATGTATCAACAGTCGACCGTAATTCAATCTGTTCCGTCCATATTTGAAACATTTTGCTGAAAATTACTCTAGAATTTTCTGCACTTTTTGTAGGACAAGGCGTATTCCAGTCTGGGGCATTTTCGCGGCCTGAATCCTGAAAAAGGGCAGGATCCCACACCTTTATTTGTTCCTTGAATAATGGCAGTTTTCCCCCATGATCCGTCCGTTACCATATCCACTTTGCTGACATGAAACACTACTCATTAGTTTACTGAAGACGTGGACAGCTCCAATCTATTTATTCCTTCTTGGATAACGTCAGATAGGAGCGGCGCCCCAGTTTCCATCAACCTTATGAGTAGTATACCCCATAGAGGGCATGAGGCGGCCTTTGTACAGCACACCTCCGTTCTCAATGTTCATTCTATCCGTAACACAAAAATCATGCCGTTGGAGTTGCACCAAACTTCCGGGATCCACTTCGACTACGAGGTCGTTGGCCCCAATCATAATTCTGGGGGCCTCATCTTCAGCGTCCGGCCTTGACAGCCAATCAGCCAGGTGGTTCTCATTCCCCGGCACGTGCCAGAACGTGCCAAATCGTGAAGCCGTCCTCTTGGAACCGCAGTGGCGCGCGCGCGAGCTTCCCTCGAAGATCTTGGGTGGTCCTGATCCACCCCAGGAGTTTGTGATCAGTCTCGATATGAAATCTTTGTCCAAACATGTATGGCCTCCACTTATCTAGGGCCCAGACGATTGTCAAACATTCTTTCTCAACAGTTGAGTACTTCTGCTCAACGACAGAAGACTAGCACTTTCGATGATTCCCTTCCTCTGCTTTAGGACTGCGCTGATACCGCGGTCACAAGCGTCCGTTGCAACAGTAAACGCCTCACCGACCCTGGGCAGTCTGAGGGTCAGTTGCTGATACAGCATCCGTGCTCTGATACGTTCGAAGGTTTCACGTGCTTCCCTTGTCCATTCGAATTTCCGATTTCGCCCAAGCAAGTCGTACAGTGGAGCAGCAATCGTGTTGAAATATTTGACAAACCGGCTGTAGTATGCTGCCCGTCCAAGAAACTGCCGTAGAAACCGCTTTGAATTGGTAACAGCACAATCCACGATCTTTGCCAATTTTTCTGGCAGTGAGCTAACCTCTCCGTGACCCACTTTATGTCCCAGCAGTGTCACCAAACTCCGAGCGAGCTGTGTCTTGGCTTCATTTATCCGCAGGCCAGCTTCCCGGATACGCTTTTAATAACGCCTTCAAGTGAACTTCATGCTCTTGAATCAGTCCATAACGCCAAAGTAGTTTGCAAATGAGAGTATTTCACTATGTCCATTTTAATTCGGACGTTGTAAATTCTGCACCCCATCTGTCACCAGACGAACTTCTGTGATAAAGACTTCCCCTGGTGGTGATGGTGAGATGCACAGATTCGAGCGAAGTATGTTGCCCGAATGATTGGTCGCATAACAGGCGTCATTTATCCGCAGGCCAGCTTCCCGGATACGCTTTTAATAACGCCTTCAAGTGAACTTCATGCTCTTGTATCAGATGAGAGTACTTCACTACGTCCACTTTAATTCGGACGTTGTAAATTCTGGACCTTATCCGCCGATGCTCAGTCGCCAAAGTAATATACCGAGGGCAAATCGCCAGACGAACCTCTGTGATAAAGACTTCCACTGATGGTGAGATGCACTGATTCGAAGTCTGCTACCGGAATGATTGGTCACAGGAAGAATACTCAAAGAAAACTAGCTGATTTACGGTGCCGGCAATTTTTGTCGGAAATGTTCGTAGCGAGCTGGATTTCGAGACTTGACTTACGTGGCTCCGCTATGTTTATTACCTGTGATGCCTTAAACACTTCTCTCATAACAGGCGGAATACTCAAAGAAAACTAGCTGATTTACGGTGCACGGCAATTTTGTCGGAAATGTTCGTAGCGAGCTGGATTTCGAGACTTGACTTACGTGGCTCCGCTATGTTTATTACCTGTGATGCCTTAAACACTTCTCTAAGGTAAATGACGTCCTATTTCATATATTCTGTGAAAGAAACACAATTTTAGTTCTGATAACAAACAGACCGGGGATGTGAAACAACTGGATATGTTTGAGAGGTAGTACGATTACATTTCTACAAAATACAGGGCCAGAATCCGGTCGCTAATGCGGAAAACTCATTTCCATATCACAGATGAGCTGACGCGCTTGGTTGTATCTTCGAAGTTCCAGAGTCCATCTAAAACCACCTAAGTGTGTCGCATCTTTCATTTGGGAAATTGGTGTACCAATACTTAAGAATACGATGGACGCTGTCACTTGTGCACTCAGAATTTGTCCTCCGGGAATAGGAACTACATGACTGACATGGTCAACTATAGGACATAAAGCAAAGAAAATTAGAGCGGTCCTATGGACGGTGCCTATTTCTGCGACAAGTGACTTCAGATGAGATCGCCATTCGATATCCAGACTAAATGACGGTTAGTGTTCGGACGACGAGGAATCTACTTATCCTGTTCCAAAAAAGATTACACATTCCCATAAAGTTGGTTAATACGCTACAGAATTCCCTTATCATGATGTCTAACAGACCGTGTTGCGAACCCTGCGAGCGTCCTTTATCCGCACAATGTTTATTCCTAGGTATGAAGCAATTTTCACTCTATCTGTCCATTTACATGCCGGTACCTTCCGATTCACACACTCAGTCAGTGTCGCCTGACAGTGTGAGCTAAAACCTTGTGGTGGTGATACAGTACTCTGGGTTCCGGTGACGTTCTGTTATCCACACAGTCATTGACAGCAAACACGTATCTCCAGTCATCAACTTTCTGCTTGAGGTAATTCGCGTGCGATACCAAGTGAGGACAGAAAGACGCTCTCTACCGCCATGAAATGTCCGTATCAAGAATAGAGTAAGTCCACACATTCTTCATACAAAAAGCTGAAGTAAACAGGTCCCTACTCATCTAATATTACACACGGACACAGTTTAGTTCACGCACACGCCCACTAGCACCCAGCACTTTCATGCAGCCGTTTTGGACCAGTCTCGGTAGAGTGATTTTACTCTGCTGGAATCCGAATACGGTAATAATCCTCAGGTAGCACCCTAGAAGAGCTGAACGAATTCGTTTATATCAGAGACGATCATGGTATGAAGAGCAAATGTCCTAATATCCGAGAGTTCCGAACACAGCCCAACGGCCCCATCCTGGAGGGAGGCACTGCAGAGAAGGAAATCCTTATTTGGGACGCCATGTGACGTGCGAACTCGATATAACCCAGTGGTTAAGGCGCGAAGTTACTGACCGGGAGGTCCAT